AAAATTGTAAAGTGAATTTGTCCCGAATCGAATTGGAAGATACCGAGAAATTTACAGAATTTACGTCCAAAACCCTCGTTACGATTCTTAATGAAAAAAAGAAAAAAAAAAAAAAAACAATTCAAGAGAAGATGTAAATTTGCACGGTCATTTTGCGCAAATATCTATTTATACGTTTTGTTGCAACACTCGATGCTCTTTTTATTGCGAAATTCATTAGAGAGGTAGCTCCCATATGTCAAATGAAATTCAACGATTATTAATGAAGGCAGTTTTTTTCTCCCGCAAATTGAGTCAACGCCACGCGATACGTTAAAAGAATAACGACGAATTTATCACGAATATATTTAATTGAGTATGTTCGCACGGGGAAGCTCCTCATTTTAATTTGTTTCAGATGTAATAACCCAGGCAATTCCCGGCAAATATTTCTTTAATAATTTCATTCTTCGCTCGATAGTCGCGCAAATATTACACCGAATGTCGTTTATTTTATTGTTCGTTTCTACCCTCGACTCGCCGAAACGGACTCGTCCATGTCATTCACACAACGAATCGATGCCAATTAAATTTTCTCGACGCGCGGGCAAATATTGATAGGAAATTTTGATAAAATTCACGACGACAAACACCAGCCACGATTTTCGCGTGAAAATAGGATACGTGACCTTTTTCTTCCCTCTCCTGCTCCTCCCTCGCCTCTCGTTAATTTCTCATGCGTTTCAGGTAATCATAACGTGCGTGCCGTTCACGTCGTTTCTCTATACCATCGAGTCGTGGCCGTGGGGCTTGGCAGTTTGCAAATTGTCCGAGTGCGCCAAGGATATTTCGATCGGCGTCTCAGTTTTCACTCTGACCGCGTTATCAGCCGAGAGGTAAGTTGTCAAACCCAGTTACGCTCGAAGGAAATTGTTGTCTCAGGGATTGGTTGGCCGTCGTAACTTGGCCGAAGTTCCGCCCCCCGTTAATGGACCGATCGACCGGTCGTTCGTCCGTTTAATCAGTAATCCAAGCGATACTCTCTAAAACCGTTCAATTTTGCCGCGCTATCAATTAATTCGTTTCCGCGATATCAATTAATCGCACTCATCGGCGAAATTTGGTGTGCGCGTTTGGCCAGAGGACTGATTGATCGAGGCTTTAATCTTGCGATTAATACTATAAATGGAAAATTGTAATCTTATTGGCGCGAAACTCGCCTCGAAACAAATGCAATCCTGCGATTCCTCGCGGCGCCTTGTTTCACTCGAGTCTGAAATTCCTCTGCGCATCGCCAATAGTTCGCTTGTACAAGGATACTTGAATTTTGATTCAGTTCATTCGGGCAACTCGTCTTGTTTGTAACGGCGGGATTAATGTAGTGAAAATGACTGAAAAATCAGTGACTTTTTATGCGTCTACTCCGATAGGATATTTAGCTGGCGTAAATATGAATTTGCATAAATGTCCGCGAATGCAACAGAAATCAAACGAATTGCAAGTTTACCCTGCGAACGAGATGATTTAGAACTTTTTTAACTTTGTCGGAATTTCAACGAAATTAGGTGATAAATAATGAGAAGCGGGGACGTGTAAACAACGATCGTTTGTTAAAAATAATCCGTGTGACGTGCGTAACAACGACGACGACCACCACCTCTAGGAGATGAAATTCAAGTGGCAGACAAAGTACGCCATTTGTAGTATTCCAGGGTTAATGTTTCCCGTAAAAATTGATGTACGAACGGACAAGAAAAAAGTGTACTGGTCTATTGCATCCGTAGGTACTGCGCGATCGTAAATCCCATTCGCCGCCACGTAGCCGGACTGAGTGCGAAACCATTAACAATACTAATAGCCTGCCTTATTTGGATACTGGCGATTATTCTGGCGATGCCAGCTGCCTTTTTCTCTCACGTGCCGATTGTACCTTTGCTGCACAACAAGAGCATCCTCATCTGCAGCCCTTTCCCCGAAGAATTAGGTGA